CATTGTGTATATATACCACTGCTTCTTTATCCATTCATCTGTCGATGGACATCTTGGCTCTTTCCACAGTTTGGCTATTGTGGACATTGCTGCTATAAACATTGGGGTGCACGTACCGCAAGGGGAGCTTGTTAAGCCTGCGTGTGATCTTCAAGCCCTGTTGGTGCCTTGCCTCTGGGGAGGGAAAGCATCCAGGACCAAAGACACTTGGATTCATCAAGTAGACGCAGGCCAGAGGGGGCTTTTAAGGACCTGAAGCTGGGACCGCAGGTTACCTGATGGCTGAAGGGAGCAGCGGTACCCATCCTGTTGGCTGGGGGTCCAGCAGCAACACCCCACGCCGGATGTCGGGACCCCTGCCTGTGAAGGGCTTGTCACCCGAGAATCCCAGAGCCGTTCTCCTTCTTGCTTACTCACTGTAGAGCTCGCTTCAAGCGGCTGGGCAAGGTCACACTTCCGCCATCTTCCTGTCCCAGGATGTTGCCTCCCCGATGCAGACCCCGGGGGGGGGGCGCTGCCTGAGGGCTGTAGTGCAGGCGGGCGCAGTGACCCCAGGGGGAGCGAGATCACCTCTGTCGCGAGGGACTTGAGAAAGGTATTTTCTTGTCTTGCTGTCTCCTTCCTTCTCCTCTAGTGGCCTGGAGGTGCGTGATCTGAAATTCTAGCTTCCCTTTCTCGTGTATTGACTGGTGGAAATCCCGATTTCCTCCTGGCTTTCCTTTTGGCATCTTTGCATTTAAAAAAAATGTGGTAAATAACATATAACATGAGATCTACTCTCTTAACAAAATTTTAAGAGTGCAGACCATGTTGGCCATGGGCACCGTGTTGGACAGCAGATGTCTGCCATGTGTTGTCATCCTGCCTGGCTGAAGCCGGTACCCATGGCAGCCCCCCGTTTCTTCTCCTCCCTGCCTCCCACAACCACCGCAGTATATTCTGCTCCTGTGAGTTTGGCTGCTTCAGATGCCTCCTACGAGTGGACTCATGCAGTATTTGTCCTTCTGCACCTGGTTTATTTCGCTTAACCTGATGTCTTCCTCCACTCTGTAGCAGGTGCAAGAGTTTCTCCTTTCTCACGGCTGAGCAGTATCCCAGTGCATGTGCCTCATGGTGTTTATACGTTCATCCATCAACAGACAGGTGTTTCTACCTCTGAACTCTTGTGAGTAAGACTGCTCTGAACATGGGTGTGCAAATACCTTTCCAAGACCTGGGTTTCAGGGTTTTTTTTTTGGCTAAATATGCCTAGTTGTTCTACTTCTAGTTTTTTAAGGAACGTTAATACCGTCTTCCATAGAAGCTGTACCTTTTCATATTCCCAGCAACAATGCACAAGAGTTCCAGTCTCTCCATAGCCTCGCCAACATTTATTATATTCTGTTTTTTTGTTTTTTTTAAATGGACATCTTAGGTGTGAGGTGGTATCTCATTGAGGTGTTGATTTGCATTTCCCTGATGATGAGTGATGTTGAGCATCTTTTTATATGCCTCTTGGCTCTAAAACTGAATCAGGGAGACATAAGAAATCTGAACAGACCAATTACTAGTAACAAAATTGAATTAGTAAACAAGAAACTCCCCACAGGGGCGCCTGGGTGGCTCAGTTGGTTGAGCGTCTGACTCATGATCTCGGTTCAGGTCATGATCTCAGGGTCGTGAGTTCCGGCCCAGTGTGGGCTCCACTCTAGGCGTGGAACCTACTTCAAAAACAAAAAAGGAAACAAAAAAAGAAAAAAACAAAAAACTCCCAATAAACAAAAGTCCAGGGCCAGATGGATTACAAGGGAACTCTACCAAACATTTAAAGATGAGTTAATACTTATTCTTGAACTATTCCAAAAAAAAGAGGAAGGAATGCTTCCAAATTCATTCTGTGAGACCAACATTACCCTCATACCAAAACCAGATAAAGACACTGTAAATATAGAAAATTACAGGCCACTATCCCTGATGAACATGGAAGCAAAAGTCCTCAACAAAATACTAGCGAACCACAGTCAACAAAACAGTAAAAGGATTACTTACCATGATCAAGTGGGATTTATTCCAGAGATGCAAGGATGGCTCAGTATTCACAAATCAGTCAACATGGTCCACACATGAACAAAATGAAGAATAAAATCAGTATCATCATAATAGCTGCAGAAAAAGCATTTGACAAAATTCAACATCTATTCCTGATAAAAACTCTCAACAAAGTGGGTCTAGAGGGAACATACCTCACATAATAAAGGCCTTATAGGAAAAACCCAGCCAACCTCACAGTCCATGGGGAAGAACTGAGAGCTTTTCCCTGAGATCAGGAACAAGACAAGAATGTCCATTCTTACCACTTTTATTCAACGCAGTACTGGGCGTTTTAGCTGCAGCAGTTAGATAAGAAAAAGAAAGAAAAGGCATCCAAATTGGTATGGAAGAAGTAAAACTTGCACTATTTGCAGACGACATGAAGCTATATATAGAAAATCCTAAAGACTCCACCTGAAAACTACTAGGATTGATAAAGGAATCCAGTAAGGTCACAGGATACCAAATTAATATACAGAAATCATGTGCCTGTTGGCCATTTCTGGTCTTCTCTGGAGAATTGTCTGTTCAGGTCCTTTGTCCATGGTTGGGTCGGGTTGCTTGTGCTTTTGCTGCTGAGCTGTGGGGATCGCTTTGCCCCTACCTCCTGAACCTTCATGCCCCGACCCGGCAGACTCCTCTCTCGTGCTCTCTGCTTCCTCAGCGGGGTCCTTCTGCCCTTTTCTATTCCTCCGCGCTTGTCACTCTGCTCCTGCGACCTTTCCCTTACTTTCTGAAACATACTCAAACCCAATTCGGTCACGTCCTTAAAAACCCAGGTCCCGCCAAGGTTCCCACGTTCCTTCCCCAACAAGCCAGCCAGACGGGTGAAGTCTCGGGTGCGTCCTGTCCCTGTTGCTTCTGGGCAGTTGGCAGAGCTTGCTGTCTTGCACACACAAGGGGGATGGTGTTACACGCGTGCTTGTTCTGTGTTGGCTGAGCTCCATCTCCGGCAGGAGCCTGGGAAGCCGTGTGTGCGTTTGCGCGTGAGTCTAACAGAGCTGAGCTTCCAGCCCCAGCGAGGTCTGGCGACAGGAAAGGACCTGGAGCGAGCGCGGTCTCTGTGCACGAGTCACCATTCGTCGCCCGAGAGAAGGAGGAGCAGGCCAGGGTCAGGGAGGGAAGGGGAAGGTCAGCGACCAGGGCGCGCGAGCACGTCTGGTTGGAAGAGACAAGCAGGTTTACGCAGAAGGTTATGACTGTGATGGGAGGCGGGCTCTGCAGGCACGGCTTGGCAGGTGTGCGCTGGGCTTCACCCCACCCTTCTGCACGTCGCCAGCGCAGCTGTTGACTGCGGGGGGCCAGCCTGGCTGGCAGTCGGAACACCTGTACCCCAAGTGCCCTGTTCCAGAGAATCCATGGCTTCCAACCTGGGGTGTCCTTGGCAGCCTGCTGCATGGCTGGTCCGTCCATGCCAAGCTCTAGGTCACCCAGAGGCCCCCCCCACAATCCTCAGGAGCCCAGCAAGGGAAAGCCCCTGGGCCCAGCCCGGAGCTGGGCGTGTGATGTGGCTCTTGAGCCGTGCTGGTCCGTCATGCTCCCTGCCGGATGCTAGAAGGACCCTTCGGTGGGCCTCACAAAATCCAAGGAGATGCTCCACCTCCTGGTCTTTATTGCCTCCTTCATGAGACTCCCGCACCCCTCTCACTCTTGTCAGCTTTTAGTCGCCTCCAAGACCCTGCCTTGCACCGTGAGCCCTGGCAACCTGTTCTGTCTCACTGATGCATGGCCACTTCTGGGTCCCTGTGGTCCCCGTGTTCCAGCCAGAGGACAGTTAGGGGCCCCCTTTTGTACCTTTGAGCATTCCTGGCTGGGGCGAAGCCTGCTCTCCTGTGAATCCGGGGAAGCTGACAGCCAGGCAGGCCTCGGCCCTCCAGTAGGAGGGGAAATGCAGCAGGTGGCCTGGTCCTCTCACCAGCTGACCTCACCCTTCCTGCTCGCTGACTTGGAGGACAGCTCCGTCTGTTTCGGCTTCTCTCTGACCCTCTCTCACTCCCCTCTGATTGTCACGGTGCTGGGGCGCTGGCTCCCCACCCTGGCCGGTGTGTAGGATCGCCTGGATGCTTAAGAAAAGAAAGAAAAAACCTTCTTAGTTCCTATCCATGGAAATTTCCTGTAGGTGCGGATTGGGTCTCGGAATCTGGTGTTTTTTTTTTTTTTTTTTTTTAAAGATTTTATTTATTTATTTGAGAGAGAGAGAGAATGAGAGATAGAAAGCACGAGAGGGAAGAGGGTCAGAGAGAGAAGCAGACTCCCTGCTGAGCAGGGAGCCCGATGTGGGACTCGATCCCGGGACTCCAGGATCATGACCTGAGCCGAAGGCAGTCGCTCAACCAACTGAGCCACCCAGGCGCCCTCTGGTGTTTTTGTACATACAGTTGACCTTTGAACTACTCAGATGTTAGGGGCACCAACCCGCACGTGCAGTTGAAAATCCACGTGTGGCTTTTGCCTCCTCCAGGGCTTACCTGCTAGTAGCCTCCTGTTCACCAGAAGCCTGACCGTTGACACACAGTTGACTATCACGTCTTTTGCATGCTATATGTATCATGTACTGTGTTCTTACAATGAAATAAGCCAGAGAAAAGAAAACGTTGTCAAGAAAATCGTAAGGATGAGGAAATGCACTTACAGCGCTGTTCCCTATTGAAAAAAAAATCCACATAACCGTGGGCTTGCACAGTACAAACCCACATCGTCCAAGGCGTACACAGGAGAAAGCCTGGGGAGATGGGTGACAGGCTCCCTGAGCTGCTGAGTGTTTGTGTCCCTGATTGCCTGACTGTGCTTGTTGGATTTTCTAGGTGGTCACGCGTGTTTCGGCGATCAGGGAGAGGATGGATGTCATTCCAAAGCAGAACGCAGACCCCTGAGGGTGCGTCTCTTTCCGAAACCATTCACACTCTCACGTGTGCTCCTCTCTCCCACAGGAGGACTCGATCTCATCTTCATGCCGGGTCTCGGGTTCGACAAGCAGGGAAACCGCTTGGGGAGAGGCAGGGGCTACTATGACACGTACCTGAAACGCTGTCTGCAGCAGCAGGACGTGCGGCCCTACACCATGGCCTTGGCCTTCCGAGAACAGATCTGCCTGCAGGTCCCCGTGGACGAGAACGACATGAAGGTGGATGAAGTCCTTTATGAAGAGCCGTCCATGTGAACCCTGACGCCTGTGGCCAAAGGCTTCGTCCCAGAGAAAAGCAGAATGTGTCCATTCCCCCCTCAGGACATCCATGTGCATGCGGACTGCCTGCTTTCTAGTGTAATTGCAGAACACCTGACATTCAGCCACCTTCCCAAATCAGGAGTAGAACGTGAATAAAAATGGAGGCAATGGCCATATGATTTTCAGCCTGTCTTGCTGGTTATCGACGTGACGGGTGGATCTTTCTGCAGCATTCGCTCCGTGTTGGTGAGGTGCTGTGGTCCCACCCATCTGTGGGAGTGGGAGTGGGAGAGCCAGGGGATCTCGCCCCGCGTGGACACGGTTCCAGCGCGTCCTGTCATGGGCCTGCTCAGGCTTCGGCAGGCTCGGGAGGCTCAGCCACTGTTCACTGACCTGTCGGTGTGTGTGTGTGCAGAGCTCCCCCGGAATATTCTAGCACTTTGTCATGACTTCATTTGCTCACCCTGAGATTCCATGTCTGATGCTTTGTAGCTTTTGACGGTCCGTGGACTGAAACCTTTTACGATTTAAGTGCTTTAGCTCCATCTCTGTGTGTCTCTGTGTGTCGGCCACTTAGGAGTTTAAGATCTGATGTCCCGTCGGCTAGAAATTATTTGTTTGCTTGTGGTGTTTGCTTTGGAAATGAAATGCGCCGTGGGCTGCGCGCCGGCAGATGGCATCCCGGCGTGGGAGCGGGGATTTTGTGGGGGAGCCCTGCTCGTGACCGGAAGCCCGGGAGTCTTTCCCCACCCTGCGCCCCGCCTGTGCCGGGTCCTGTGCTGTTTGCCTCCGGGGTGCCGCCGATGCTGGGTCCTTCCCCTCCCTGTCCCCTTGTCCAGGCTCGCGGCGTTTCTGAGCCGAATGGGCAGGAGGAGACTCCCCTCTGGCTTCTCTTGCCTGCAGTCTGGCGCTGTCTTCCCTGTTGCCCAAACTCCGGTCCGAGTGACTTCACAAAGCATGAATCTGGGAGTCCGGCCATTCAGGGCCTATGGGTAACGGGGGGCGACCGGCTGCCTTCTCCTGCAGGAGGCCCCCTCCGCAGATGCTCACGTCTGTGCCCTTCCTGGAGCAGCAGGGGTGTCTCCTTGCCTTTTGCACCTTGTCAGCGAGCTGTCTCCACCGGCTGTGAAGCCCTTTCTCCTTTTGTTCACCCGGAAGCTCCTGTCTGTCCTTCAAGACTCAGCTCGGGCGTCTCCGCTTGTGTGGAGTCTTCCTCTACGTCCCCAGAGTTAGTGTTGCTCTGCCTGTTTAAAGAGCCCTGGCCATGTCCCCCTGTGTCGTGCGCATCGACTGTTGGTTGTCACGTCTGCCCTTTCCCTGGGCCGCGAGCTCCAAAGAGGAGGGATGATGCTCACCATTTCCTGTACGTCGTAGACACCTGCACATACGGTTGGTGTTTGAGAGTTTCTGAGAATGAGGTAAGGGAGCGTGCAGAAGGGTTGCATTTAAAGCATGGATCTATGTTCTTTGGATAATAGCATGTGACTTGGTGATTTATACATAAAAGTAAAAAATATTTTAAAACGTGAGATTTCATGAGATTCCAGAAGGCCAGAGGGCTACAGGTCTCCCACCCAGAAACAGTAACCCTGGTGGCCTGGATTTTGTGGTAGTCATTGTGCAGAGCGTATTGGGAACGGGAAAGCCCCGACGACACAGGTAACGCCCATCAGGACATAAGCAGAGGCTGAGGACAAGGCCTCGAACCCAGGAAGCGAGCCAGTGTGCTCGGGGCGTGGGGGAGGGGATGGTCCAGTGGAAGGCGAATAGCCACCGGATCTGAACATCCGTCCACGATGCTGCCCTGCTGTAGAACTGAGTGTAATTTACCGAGAAGGTAAACTGTAGAGTCTAGTCCACCAGCAGATGTAACTAAGAACATGCAGTCACCCGGTCCTGCTAACCTGGGAGCGATGCGTGTGTCTAGGTGTGGACGGCCCCATGCAGAAGCCTGGGTCCTGGCCCCCGTTCTCCACTTCTCTCTTTCAGAGATCATTTAAATCCAGCTGGTCACACTGCATTTTAATTGTGTGTTTGCACACTTATCCCCTGCATGAGCCCATGAGCTCCTCACGGGCATGGTCATGGGAGTGTGTGGTTCACCGCGGTCCCCGGCACAAAATAATAGCCAGTAAATTCTCGAGGAAGGGACGGGCAGCGTGCAGGCTGCCCAGTCTGTGTTGTGCCCTTGCTGCTTTGTGCGTTGGCCACCATCTGCTGCCAAGATTCTGCCCCTTCAGCATTGTCTCCGGGTTGGATTATTCTAGAACACAGTTTCTGTTACTGCGGCTGTGTGGCCCTCCAGGACTGGTCCGTGTGTGTCCCGTGGTCTGTGCTGCTCGGCCCCCTTCATGCATCTCATGGTCATCATCCCTCCTGGCCTCCTGCCCTTCCTAGTGGGGCTGATCTGTCATGACTGGGTACCCCCTCCCCAAATATAGGCTTATATGCTTAAAAGTAAACAACAAATTGCTTTCCAGATAACATCTTATGCACAATAGGAAACACGCACAAATAAAAGGGAAGAAACAATTGAAACCGTCTATTATCAGTAATCTGTGATGTACTTAATTTCTAAAAGGGAAAGCAGGGATGGAGATTTTTTGGAAATTTACTGTTTTTGAAAACCTTATTTTAATCCCCTTGGAATGGTTGAAACGTCTGGTTCTAATTTCAGTTTATTTCAATGTTGGGTGTGAAGGGCTTTTATAGCTGAAAACAATACCTTCTAGAGATAAGCAGATCCATACAGAAGCACTGCTACACTTGTTAAAATTTTCAATGCTGTTTACCCATTTTGCAGAGGTCTTTTTCTCTTTTTTAATTGATATCGGGCTAGTAAATACCCGTGGACTTGATGTGGATCATTCCTGCATATTAATCAGAAGACGCTGCACTTTCACTTTGTTAGCACGTGGGTTCAAAACTTACTGAAGCTCTCGAAAGATTTTAAACCAGGTCAGAACAGTTTTGCTCCTAGGTGTTTTGGTTGTGCAGACGTGGAGGTGTTTACAGGTGGCACACGTGGTCTGTGGCAGCACGATCGTGGAATGATGAGAATTTTCCAAATCACCATTTCCAGTGCACGCCCCATGTGTTGCAAGATGACCCTTCTGTCTCATCGGTGGAACGTGACTTCTCCCCGCGAGATTCAGATCAGGTGTATTTATTCTGTGGCGGTATGCTTAGGGAGCGGGCCACTGGTGGCCATTGGTACCACAGGAAAGTCAGAAAATGTGGAGCACTCACCTTTGTGTGCAAAGTACATGCAAACTCATCTTGAAGCTTCACGGCTCTTTTTAAAAGCATTTCACCCTGAGATTGTCAGAGAAATGTAGGTGAACCAAAATATTTTTCATGGGTCTCTCCTAGCCTAAAATATTGTGAATATTCTGTTTTGTGGAATAGAATCCTCCATGGGATAGAATCACGTCAATCACGTAGTGCATTTCTTGTCTGTGAACGATAGGGGGATGCTGTGGCTGAGCCTTGATGGGGGTCCACCCTGCTCCAGACAAATGCCAGCCATTTGTGACATGTGACATCTAATGTCACAGCTAGACTTAGGTCATTTGTCCTAAAACATGGTCTTTGTTAACATGTCAGCTAATTTTGAGACCCCTATCCTCCTCATGACTTTGATGTATTTAATATCTGAACCTTTCATTCATTCTTCTCATGATGAGACCATAAGCTGGGATCTGCCGGAAGCTTCTGTCCTTTTACCCAAACTCCCACCCTGAAAAATTTATTTCCAGAACTTACGTCATTGGATTGTCTGCAGTGTTTTTTCCCCCTGTTATCCAGTAAAACATGTTTTTTTTTTTTCCAGGGTTTTTTCCCAACTGTTGCATGAGTTTCACCCATACTTCTGTGGCCATGAGAACAAGTGTTTACAGATGGTATGCTCCTGTTTGTGTTTTGTTCCTTAACGACTTATAAACATTTATGATTGCATTTAGTGAACATTATTGAAAATGTATTAGAATTAGTATTTTGAGATAGTAGCTATTACTGAAACTTCATAGAGGTTCATCTTCATCTTCTGGGTCTGTAGCGTCTGTTGACCGTGGTGGCTTCTCACTTTTCCTTATGTAGGAAGAGGCTCATCATTAACTGTGATGAGCACAGATTCCTGCTAGAGCATCTTTGTGAAAATTTCAGATTTGGGGGCTTCCTTCTAGACAGATGTTACTGCTTTCCTTTGTCGTAGAGCTGATGAGTAGCTTTAATCAGGAGCAGAAACATCAACTACTGTTGCTGATTCCTGCTTGCCTCCGAAGAATAATCCTTGGTTTGCTGTATCTCTGTAAGAGTCGTTTAAAGCTACTTATGCATTTTAAGAGGGTTGGCTCAGTGAGAGCTATGTACTGCATGGGTAAATCCTCGTTTCCGGGACTAGAGGAAAAGCATCGGATGCCAAACTGGGCTGACGGCGAACTACCTCCACCCACCAATATCCCATGTCCCCATCCTGTTCCCCCAGCACAGCTACTGTAACCCTAACCCTAACCCAAACCCTAGCCCTGAACCCAAACCCAAACCCGAACCCTAACCCTGAACCCTAACCCAAAACTGAACCCGAACCCTAACCCTAACCCTGAACCTGAACCCAAACCCTAACCCTGAACCCTAACCTTAATCCTAACCTGAACCCTAAGCCTAACCCTGAACCCTAACCTGAACCCTAACCCGAACCCTAACCTGAACCCGAACCTGAACCCGAACCCTAACCCTGAACCCTAACCTGAACCCTAACCCGAACCCTAACC